CCCCCTGTGCCGACCCTAGTTTCCAAAAGTGAAACAGAATGAAGCGCTCACCTGCCGCCACTCTCCCTGGAGAAGGAATGAGAACTCCACCCATGTCAAAAATCACCGCTCTGTAGGTGCCGCCTCCAGAATGTGCCCATCGCCTGGCTCGCTGGAGCCTCCCCTGGCTGTGTTTCGGGAAGGTTGCCCTCCGAGCCCACTGGAGATGTGAGGACCGGAAGAGCTGCCTTATGTACATGTTGAGGCCAAGGCTGCACGAGAAGAAGACACAGGGCACAGCTCGCTTTCCCTGCCTCCAATCCAGACCTCCATCCGGGGGCTTAGGCATGCCAACTGGACATCTCCACTGACCTCCCGCAAACACTTCAAATAACCACTAGAATTGAGCCCTCCTGGACTACTCTGTTTTCTAGGCTCCTTAGCCCAGTAAAAGGTTCCACCATTCAGCTAACTGCTCAAGCTAGAAAACTGGGATTCACTCCTGACTTCTCTCAGTCCCTCACTCGGCCACCTCAATTCCATGTGCTCTATGCTGTTGTCTTCCTTCTGAAAATCGCCATCTACCTCTCTCCACTTACTATCCACAGATGATTTTGCCCATAGATCGTTGCAACAAGCCTCTTAATGGGTTCCCTTGTCTCTTCTCAAACTCTTCGTTCTTTCTCCACTTTTCAAGCAGAGTTGAGTGTGCCTTCAAAATTGCAAATTTGGCCACATCGTATTCCCATTTAGAACTTTCTTTTTTTTTTAATTTTTTAAAAATATTTTATTTATTTACTTATTTGACAGACAGAGATCACAAGTAGGCAGAGAGGCAGGCAGAGAGAGAGGAGGAAGCAGGCTCCCCGCTGAGCAGAAAGCCTGGGGGATCCCCAGGGCCCTGGGATCATGACCTGAGCTGAAGGCAGAGGCTTTAACCCACTGAGCCACCCAGGTGCCCCCCACTTAGAACTTTCAATGTCTCCCCACTGCCCTCAAGGTAAACTCTCAGTTCCTTAACCTGCCCCAAGAGGCCCTTTAAGATCTGCCCCCCTCCTTGGTAGCAACTCTCCCTCTTTTTTTCACTTTAATCTGGATGATGTGGACATGCAAGTGTCCTTTAGGTTGTAATTTACCTGTCACTTCCTTCATGAAACCCCCTCTGGCTACCAGAAAAGACAGATGAGAAGCCTTTCCTGTATACTCCCAGAATGCCTGGTACTGACCTCCTCCTAGTACTGACGGTGCCTCCAATCACACCAACAGGCTCCTAACTGTTCCCCATTTGTCTCTTTTCTAAACACACTTTCAAAAGGTAAAAAAAAAAAACAAAAAACGAACAAACAAAAAAAAACCTATACACACACAACACACACACATGTATATAGACACATATCTATATATGGGGATAGAGATAAACAAAATGTGGCAGGATTTTTAGTCAATCTAGGTGAAGGGCATACGATTGAGAGCATATAAGAGATCATTCATTGTACGTTCTTTCAACTCTTCTCTATGTCTGAAATAAAAAGCTGGGGTGAAAACAAAATGATGAAAGCAAATTCTATTTGCAGTCGGTTCCACATGAAAATCTTTGCTTTTTTATAGCTTCAAACTTACTAAAAATCAGGTTTGAACAAAATAGTATGGGAAGACAGCCTGTAAGTTTATAGGAGTCACTTCGGTGAGGCCATCAGGGTTCAATAAAACATAGAAAACTCTAAGGAAAGGGTTCTCAAGCAGGAAATCTTCAAGATGATACTGTTTTTCATGTAATTGGAAATTTGCAGAATGGGGGGGTAGGTTTTGAAATGAAAAACTCAAAGGTTGATTTGCATTTTCAGTTTTACTTATGTTCCCATACCAAGGCCAGAGTTTATGATGAAAGGAGTTTATTTATAGGCTCATAAAAGCATCAAAAACTTTGTGTCAGGGCTTAATGGCGACAAAAGGCGTCTCTGGGGCCTGAAGGGCTGACTTGCATCTCCACAGAGGGTACTAATGGATGAGTGGGCAATGCTCCCATGACCAGCTTGGTTATTCCAACTAGAGATGACGGTTCTGTTCTAGTCGCTTCCCAACACTCTCTTCAGAGTGGCCAAAACACTGGTCTCTCCCACCTCCAGGCTTTGGTACCTGCGCACTGACCATGACGCCTTTCCCCGTTTCATCTGCGTGTACATTTCCACTCGTTTTTATATCACAGCCTCAGCTTTATCTTTATCTCCTCTGCAGAGGCTTTTTAAAATTTATTATTATTTTTAAAGATTTTGTTTATTTACTTGACAGAGATCACAAGTAGGCAGAGAGGCAGGCAGAAAGAGAGGGGGAAGCAGGCTTCCTGCTGAGCAGAGAGCCCAATGCGGGGCTCAATCCCAGGACCCTGAGATCATGACCTGAGCCGAAGGCAGAGGCTTAACCCAGTGAGCCACCCAGGCACCCCTAAAATTTATTATTTTTTTAAGTAGGATCCACACCCAATGTGGGGCTCGAACTCAAGAGTCTCATGTTCTGCTGACTGAGCCAGCCAGGCACCCTGATGAGGATTTTTCTTTCCCAGGAAGCCTCTAGTATAACTTTTTTTTCTCCCCTTAAACTCCTATTGTTTCTTCTCCATACCTTCACTAGAGCATTTACTCCATGACACAGTAATTGTTTGCATGCTCATCTGCTCCTGTCGTTGTAAGCTCCTTAAAGCAAGGTCCATCTTGTCTTTTCATCTTTGTATATATTTCATTTTTGTATATACCCATCCCCCTGGGGCCCTGCACTGTATCTAGACACATAGCAGGTGTTCAGTATAAATGAGCTGGAAGGATGAATTACACTGGATGAATGAGAAAATAGGGAAGGGAGCGGGACAGGGGTAGTTGTTGAGCGCCACAAAGAACGGTAACAAGCCCAACTTGCCCGTCACTAGTCAACTATTCTCTGGAACTAGCGTCTTCCTTCTGTACCATTCTGACTTTCAGAATGAGATTAGTATGATAATGTAGCCTTACTACTTAATTCATACTTTTATAAATATGCACACTGGTGTTGTCACATATTAAGAAGATCGTTCAGTAAAGAGGTTGAATGTGGCTCTGGAATCAGACTGCCTGGGTTTGAATTCTAGGTTTGCCACTTACTGTGAGATCCTGAACAAGTTTCCCCGAGACTCAGTTCCTCCTCCCTCTGTAAATGGGAATAATTATACACCAATCTCATAAAGTTGTTACTATTACATGAGATAAAGTATGTAAAGCACGCAAGTTAGTAGCAGGCACACTATTAAATGTTAGTACTACCGGGGCTCCTGGTCGCTTAGCTGGTTTAGCATTTGACTCTTGATTTCAGCTCAGGTCATGAGCTCAAAGTTGTGAAATTAAGCCCTGCGTGGGGCTCTGCTGCTGGTCATGGAGGCTGCTTAAGATTCTGTCTCTCTGTAAGACTCTTAATCTCACAAAACAGAATTGGGGGGCGGGAGGGAGAGGGTGGTTGGGTTATGGACATTGGGGAAGGTATGTGCTATGGTGAGTGCTGTGAAGTATGTAAACCTGGCGATTCACAGACCTGCACCCCTGGGGCTAATAATACATTATGTGTTAATAAAAAATTAAAAATTAAAAAAACACACTAAAAAAAAAAATTGTCTCTCGCTCTCCCTCCTCTCCCCACGCCCTTCCCTAAAGAAAAGAAAAATCTTATCTACTACTGTAGTATACTATAAAAGGTTCATGAGGTCTCACATGTTATATGCACATACTATGTGAATATGGCATATGAATTTTACAACCATTGTCAACAAGGTGTGATTTTGGTCCCAAGGGGTCAATTGGCAATGTTGGGGTCCATTTTTGGTTGTCACCATTTGGGGGGTGCTACTGGTATTTAGTAGGCCAGACCAGAGATGCATGCCATTAAATATCCTATAAAGTATAGGACACACACCCCAAAGAATTATTGGGACCCAAAATGTTAATAGCGCAAAGATTAAGAAACCCTGATCTAAACAGTGTGTATTGATTGAAACGTATTTCGTAAGATGCAGTCACACATAGCATGGGTTAGTGTTATATGTATATGTAGTCCATGGACCCACACGTGTCCAGGATGGGCTGCGACACATCTTAGAAATCCTTATAGCATATGCTTAGAATAGCATCCTGTCATATATGCGACATTTAGGTATTGATTATGGCTTCCAGTATCTATATGCTGAAGGCAGTCTGACATACTGGAAGGAAAGCTAAATATAAGAAAAAGCGATATATGTAGAGCCACAGGCTCTATTTCATGCTCATGACTGTATATTACCGAATTTTATGTCAAAACCTAGCTCAAGGTCATACAACCGATCAAGGTCGACTCCATTTGAACAGGAACTGTGTGTTTATCACGAAAATATCCCCACCACCCCAGCAGTGGTTAGGTTCTCAGTAAACATTTGTGTTATGGGGCGGGGAGCAGGACCCAGATCTAACTCCCAACACCGTGCGCTAAATCAGCCCACCGCCCTATCTAGATAGAGTCAGAAACTCTGCAATCGAGTCCCTATTCCTCAAGGGCCTTCAGAAAGGCGGATACCCCTCTCTGCACGTCTCTGAGCTTTGGTGTACCTATGTGTAAAGTGTGGCTAACACAAAGCAAGCCCTCCAGAGCTACAGCTAGGGGTCCGACACAACAAGGGGGCAAGAGCTCGCCACAGGTCACGGTTCCTCCGACAATTCGGGGACCTCGCGGGCCCGGGGACCCCTCACCATCGGGAGGCAGCCTGAGGGTAAGACCTCTCAAAGAGGTAAACTCGAGCCTGGGCGCAAACCGACGAATCGCCTTAACCGGGCACCCAACCCCCGAACCTTCTTATGCCTCCTCCTCCTCCTCCTCCTCCTCCCAGACCTCCTCAAGACCAAGACAGAAGAACGCAGACTCACCTCCGCGCCGTTACGCCAGTCACGTGGCGGCCACCCTAGCCAATCGGGGCGGGCGCTGCTGCGCGCACGCGTATCCTCGAGGGTCGGCGACGGCGGCCGGGAGGCGGAAGTGAGGGTGGTTGTGGCTCGGAGGGTAGCGCGCGGAACTGCTGCTACTGAGGCAGTGGTGGAGGCGCTGAGGCGGTGGCAGCGCTGCCGACCCTGGGCCGCTCGGCCTCTCAGCTCGCCTCCCAGCGTCGCCTGAGCCCGCCGGGGCCCGTGCCGGCCAGCGCCTGCCCTATGAGTGTGTCACTGGTTGTCATCCGACTGGAGCTTGCGGAACACTCGCCCGTCCCCGCCGGCTTCGGCTTCAGCGCCGCGGGTGAGTCCCGCGGCCTCGCAGCCTCCGTCTAGCCCCGCTCCTGGGCCCGAGAGGCTCGCCCTTCCAAAGTACCCGCCCGGGGAAAGGCGGCGGCGAGGGCATTTGTGTCAGGAAGAAGCCGGGAGGTAGTTGAGATCCGTCTCATTCCATCCATCCTAAATAGGCCTCTCGGATGTCATCTCTGGGAAGCCCTCCCGGTCCCTCCCTCCTGGTGCCTTCCCACGGGCACTCTGTTTATACCTGGCGCGTCGCCCTCTCCACCCAGGGTTGGAGTCAAGTTGTGTAAGTCACTCTCCTCCAGGCTTTGTGAAGGCAGCAACTGGATCCCAGAGATGGTGACGGTTCGTGGTTTAATTAAATCGCTCCTCTTTGGGGGAATTTCTATTTAGGCGCCCTGCAACTACAGTAGTGACTGTAGCTAAAGTCTGTACGCTTCCTGTGTCGCAGCACTGGACTAAACACCTTGTGTGCATTGTCGTCTTTCATTATCTTCACACCAGCCCTGTTAGGTAAATGTACGTGCTTTTTACAGATTGAGAAACCGAAGCCCAGTGATTAAATGACTTGTCTATAATTGTGTCCAAAGTGGCGAAACTGGGATTCTAACTCGGAGCCGGACTGGAGAATCTGAGTTCATTACCAGCCACGCAGCCCCCTTCCTGGGGAATGCAGCTGTGACTGTGTTCCTTGGACCTTAAGCAATTTCCTAACAATAACATTTATTTATTTTTTTTAAAGATTTTATTTATTTGACAGAGATCACAAGTAGGCAGAGAGGCAGGTAGAGAGAGAGGAAGGGAAGCAGGCTCCCTGCTGAGGAGAGAGCCTGATGTGGGGCTCCATCCCAGTACCCTGAGATCATGATCTGAGCCGAAGGCAGCGGCCCAACCCACTGAGCCACCCAGGCGCCCCTAACAATAACATTTATTGAAGAAGTAATTACCGAATGCTCACTCTGTTAAGAGTTTAGTTGTTTGCAGAATCACACATGGTCCCTGCTTTAATGGCACCACCAGCTCAAATGAGGTAGACAGATGAATTAAATAATTACAGAATGAATGTGGAATTACATCCATGAAAAGCTGTGAAGGAAAAAAAAAAGTTTGCAAAGCTATCACAAGAGGATCTTTTTGGTTTGTGAGGTAGCCTGGCGCAGGTAGAGAGGGTGTCCTTAGAAACTCCCCTGAGTGTGTGAATTTGGGAGCTGCAAGTTAAAAATTGAATATGACTTAAAAAAATTTTATTTTATTTTATTTATTTGACAGAGATCACAGGTAGGCAGAGAGGCAGGCAGAGAGAGAGGAAGGAAAGCAGGCTCCCTGCTGAGCAGAGAGCCCGATGCGGGGCTCGATCCCAGGACCCTGGGATCATGACCTGAGCCAAAGGCAGAGGCTTTAACCCACTGAGCCACCCAGGAGCCCCTAAAAATTGAATATGACTTTAATGGGTTACAAGCACCTTTCAAGTACAAGTGATCCCTAAGTTGTGAAAGTCAGCTAAATTGACATTAGGCACGTATACACTTCTACACAGGCCACTCATTGATTCACTGATTCAACAAAACTTCAAAGACCTTCCAGGGTGTGCTAGGCGCTGTGGTGTAAGTGCTGGGGATAATACAGTGGTGGGCAAAACAGGCCTGGTTCCTGCTCTCGTAGAACTTATAGTAAGAGTATTTCAATCAAGTCTCCAAATTCCTTTTCCATTTTTATGTGATCACAGATTTTCATGGTATGATTCATGGCCTGAGACTAATCCAGGGTTTTTAAGAAGACTGCTGCTAAAGGTTTTTCACATTTTTATTTATGGACTTAAGACCTTCATTTGGTGCTCAACACAGTTTCACTTTACTAGAGATTACTTAAAATGTTGGTTCATTTTTGACATTACTGCTGAACCTTCTTTAAAGTTCTTATTTTCATTGATTTGCTTTAAAGTGCATGATTTCACTAAAACAACCCCACATTTCTGAATTTATTGCACTGGGTGTTTATTACTGGGTACTGAGGAGCCCCAGAGGTGAGTGAGAGATACAAAAGTACCTTATTATCTTGGAGGAGGGCAGCAGAGAGAAAAGGGAAGCTTATCGATATATACATTGAAAGTGAAGAAGAGCTTGTTTTATTATCACATATTAATCATTCATGTGTTCCTTAGCCGGGGAAATGTCTGATGAGGAGATCAAAAAGAAGACACTAGCTTCAGCCGTAGCCTCTTTAGAAGGAAAGTCACCAGGGGAGAAAGCAGCAATCATACATCAGCACCTTGGCCGTCGAGAAATGACAGATATGATCATTGAGACCATGAAGTCCAATCCAGGTATGCTTTCTAAAACCCCAGACTTGTGTAACATAAGTCCCTGGTTGCCTGTCTTATACATGTTATTCCATGAACCCATGATTTTGACCTCTAGTGTACTTTTATCTTTCACTACCTGTGTGCCTTACATCAGATTGTGAGGCCACATTTCAGCATCTCCAGATATTTCTCCTAAATTAATACTAACTAGGTGGGTTGACAGCTTTATTCAGTGAGGAGAGCTTCTTGCCATCTAGGTTAGTGGCAGATCACCACTGAATCCTGATAAGCCTGTTGTGTCTGTCCCCTCACCCTGTACACACACTGCCCACTCACTCCAATCCAGAGACTGGCTGTGTACTGTATCTCCAGCGTGGAAGTGAACAGAGCTGGTAGATGTGATTTTCCAAATTAATAGTCCTGGATATCCCAATTAGGAGCACATGATGGAAGACATCTGTTTTTATTATGGTACGGCCCAATGTAAGAGCCATCCTTAAGTTTCTGCGGATATTAATGAAATTTTTATGGGGCAAAGAGTGCTTTCAAGTTTAGATGCTCCTAAAAACTTGGCTGCTCTGTAAGTATAGTTCTTAATGCAATACATTACAATTTCTCTGTTGAAGTTTATTTTTCTGACTCAGAATTTTAACCTAATTAGAATCCTTCCACATATTTCCTATCAGTTTATAATCTGCTAATTTTTGATTTGTGAAAGATGAGCTGAAAGCCACAATGGAGGAAAGGAAGTCTTCAGAAGCATCTCCTACTGTACAGAGAAGTAAAGATCCAAGTGTAGAGTGCGTAAACGCTGCTCCTGATTCTCCATCCAAACAGCTTCCAGACCAGATTTCGTTCTTTAGTGGAAACCCATCAGTTGAAATAGTTCATGGTATTATGCATCTATACAAGACAAAGTAAGAAAAACCCTTTTCCTCTTGAATTGGTCTGGTCGGGTTTTGTTTTGTTTTGTTTTTTGTTTTTTGTTTTTTGTTGTTGTTTTGTTTTTTTTTTTTGTCTCAGGACAGTGAAAAATTTCTTGCCCTGCAGAGCAGTGGATATTTTAAGGTTCAGACGGAGAGTACCTTTCATATAATGTGTGTTTTTGATGTAAGAATTCTTAGATGTTTTACATTTGGTTAATCTTATAGATTGGGTCAAAGCTTCTTAGAAAAGAAACGTGTAGATACACTTGAGAAAATACCTAAGAAAATATTCCCTGAGAAGGTAGGCATGTAAGATGACTGGAAAATTAAAAGGAAGGAAGATAAAAAGGATAAAAACATTAGAAATGATTCATAACATCATTGCAGTGTCATATCCCCTCATATGTTTGCTAAAGAAGCTGTTAAGTCAGTTAATGGACTATCTTTTCATTGTCTCTTTTACCCTTTTTTGTGGTCCACACAAAACTTAAAAGAAGCCAAAGGTAAAGAAGCGTTTGGCTGGATAATCTATAAGCTGGGTCATCAGACGCTTGGATAATTGATAGCTGATCTCTTTAAAGCCTGTCCTCCTAACATATTTGCTAGGTCCCCACTGGGAAACAGTGAATACTCAGGTCACCTTACGGGATCACACCTGTTGAAGTAAGTTCGCAGCATTTCAAAAGCAAATTGCATTGTGGGAGGTTTTTTCTTTTTCCTGTCCCAGCTATTCCAACCCAGCTACACTTTCTGTAATCTTCAGAGTCACATCTTCATGGTTCTGGATGCTCTTATATTTAGAACACTCCTGTTCTAGACCGCTTGAGAGAAGTACATAGTTAGAGGTGCCCATGAACTTGTAGATTGATCCATACTCTGGGTGTCTCTCTGCCTTTGTGGGAGTTTTCTTTAACTTCCAGAATAGTGATCTTAAAACTTAAGGAAAAAACGTAGAGTTGTGCTTCTGAGTTACCTAATGAGAGATTATTATTGAAAAGCTAATGAGAATAAAACACAAACTGCAGATTTATATTCATCTCTAAGCCTTTAACTGAAGGTTAAGAATTTCAGTAAAGTTTCAGTGGTGGGTGTAATCCAGACCACAGCACAGCTTATGTTAAGCTCTGTTGCAGACATGTGGAAGGTATTCTGCATTTACCCAGGTCGTGTGTGTTTTCAGGTATTGTAGCACTCTGTTTAAATCAACCTGTGAAGTATAAGGTTTATTTTTTTTCTCTTTTCTTGGGCATAAAAGTTGTCTGATTAGTGTTGTCTGAACTAACCATACCTCATCCATTCAAGACAGTCTAATTGTTGTCTTATTAGTAAGATGACCTCCTTAAAAGAAGATGTCAGGCGCAGTGCCATGCTGTGTATTCTCACAGTCCCTGCTACAATGACCAGTCATGACCTTATGAAGTTTGTCGCCCCATTTAATGAAGTCATTGAACAAATGAAAATCATCAGAGACTCTACTCCAAATCAGTATATGGTGCTGATAAAGTTTAGTGCACAGGTAAAAGTTAAGATACTAAAAATCTCTTTGCCACAGAAACTGTGTTTTTGAAACTGTGTGATGCTAGCTGTGTGTGATTTACATTTTGCTTTTAAGATTCTTGATATACCTACCTTCTAGGGTATTGTTATTCTAGAAACATTTCTAAATTCGGTAGCAGACACTCAGTGCTAATTCTTACCCATAATGTTTTTATAAAGCAGATTGGGTATGAAATCTAGGGTTGTATGTGTTTGGTTATCCAGCAGTAAATATTCCAGTAGAGTAGTAGTCCCCAAACTTTTTGAGATTGATGCTATATTATTATCTGCCCTTATAACACTGTGCCCCTGCTTCTTTTTTTTTTTTTTTTAAAGATTTTATTTATTTATTTGACAGATAGAGATCACAAGTAGGCAGAGAGGCAGGCAGAGAGAGGAAGGGAAGCAGGCTCCCTGCTGAGCAGAGAGCCCGATGCGGGGCTCAATCCCAGGACCCTGAGACCATGACCCGAGCTGAAGGCAGAGGCTTAACCCACTGAGCCACCCAGGTGCCCCGCCCCTGCTTCTTTCATTCTCTTTTTAAAAGATATTCTCTGGCACATTTTAGAAAATAAAATCTGTTTAATACTTTTAATTTTGGTGATGAGGGATTTGGAGACATTCCTTGAAGTATTAAAGATGCTTTAAGAGTTCTGATTGGAAATCACTGCAACAGAGACACAGAAACAGTGAAAGGATGGTGATATTTTCAGTTTTGAAAAGTACTTGCACGTTATTATAGATATTTTTGATGTAAGAAGATTATGACATTCGTTTCATTTCACTCTTCACATTAAGCAACATTTTCCGTGTGCCTCAGTTCTAAAGATGTTAGGAAGACAGTCTCTTGGTTTTACGTATTCATTCTTAATAGTACATGTATTTCTGTATGAATATAAGAGTGAGGTAAGCTTTAGCTGTTACCCCGGTTGTTAAAGAGCCATCCTATCTGTAGGTTTTGGTTTGTTGTTGTTGTTGTTGTTGTTTTAATGATCTGTTTTGTTTGTTCATTCATTAGGTTTTGAAATGCACCTTTGTCAAAAGTTACTTCTTTCTTACCTCCTTGGTAACAGCCTTTCTGAATTTGGCCCAGATAAACAGTTCTTGCTTGCAGATTGGCGAAGAGTTGGTCTGCCTTTAGATCGTTTGCCACTGCCTCTGACCGGTTACCAAGATTTGTGGGTGAAAGGGAGTCTGTGACACGAGGTCCATTTGTCATCTCCTTCCTCCTTGGAGAATTCCAGAGTTGACTGCAATAGTAGTCATTCATTGGCCACGGGGAGGAAATTAAGAGAAGCGAGAACTGGATTATGTTTATGCCTATGCCACGGGCCACAGAAAGAGAACCTTCGTGTAGCACTCTATGTATGAGAGGGTACACAATTGGTATCTTTAACCTTTACGAAATACCCCCCTATTGAGGTGAGACGTTTAAAATAGGTTTGAACTTTCCTGCACACAGACTTAGACTTCACAAGTTGACAGTGAGAATGGAAAAGCACTTCAACAGCTGTGTTCACTGTCAAGAGACCTTCCAAGGTCATTGAGGAGCTTTGCAAACAGTGGGCAAGTGGTACCTTTTAAATCTGGTAGCACATGTAATAACAAGGATAATGATGATAATTTGCAGTCTTACTGCTTGTGCTATACCACTCTCTGCTAAGTGCTTAATGTGCATTATCTCATGTAGTCCTCACTACACCCCTTTGAAGTAAGTAAGTACTGTTATTATCCTTGTTTTACAAATGAGGAAACTGACTGCGGAGAGGTTAGTCATTTGCCCTCAGTGACTGAGCTGGGATTTGAACCCTCACTTTTAATCCTAGAGCATACTCTTCTTCTACTAGTAGTGGATAAAAGTGTGGGGAGGGGGAGATAATCACTTGGCAAGAGATTGTGTAATGCCAATATTTTAGTTATAGCTTCTACTTGACAGGTAAGGACAGTCAGCAAATGACACAGGAAAAGTCATTGAAACAGATCGGGGATAATGAATCATTGAATGTTACATCAAAAACTAATGATGTGGGGCGCCTGGGTGGCTCAGTGGGTTAAGCCACTGCCTTCGGCTCAGGTCATGATCTCGGAGTCCTGGGATCGAGCCCCGCATCGGGCTCTCTGCTCAGCAGAGAGCCTGCTTCCTCCTCTCTCTCTGCCTGCCTCTCTGCCTGCTTGTGATCTGTCTGTCAAATAAATAAATAAAATCTTTAAAAAAAAAAAAACTAATGATGTATTATAAGTTCACTAATTGAACTTAAATTTAAAAAAAAAGATTGAGGGGATGCCTGGGTGGCTCAGTCGGTTAAACCGCTGCCTTCGGCTCAGGTCATGATCCCAGGGTCCTGGGATCAAGTCCCGCATCGGGCTCCTTGTCCAGCAGGGAGCCTGCTTCTCTCTCTGCCTCTGCCTGCCACTCTGCCTGCTTGTGCTCTCTCTATGACAAATAAATAAAATCTTTAAAAAAAAAAAAGTGGGGAAAAATGTTTAAAAGCATATTAGACTTTTTAATTAGTCTAAAGTCTGTTAAACCCACAAACTGTAGCAAGGACGACCCTTTGTAGTGTGCAGGTAATGCTGTGGAAATTTTCTGTTACTGTTAATGGATATTTCTGCAGTCTCTTCACCTCTGTCTTTTGACCAAGTGCATGTTGTACAAGCTTACAGATGTTAGAGACTATGAAACATTGTACTAGCTCTTCCCCATGGGGATAGAACCCTTGACCTACGTGAGTTGTCTTATTTATTGCTAATGCTGCATCTCAGGGTCTGAGCTTATCCTATCAGCTATTTTCTAAGGTCTAAAAATACCCTCCTAGTATAAGACTTTAAGTTGTTAAATTAATACTGGGCCCTAATGAAAAAAATGGGCTCAAATAGGGACCAGCTGTTGAGCACTTATTAGATGCCAGGCCTATTAAGTGCTTTTCATGCATTGGCTCCTTGAGTCCTCTCAGCAATGCCGTGAGGTAGGTGTTGTTACTTTCGTTTTTATAGTTGAGGAAACAAGCATGGATAAGTCACTTGACCAAAGCCACACAGCTAATAAGCGTCTGAGTTAAATTTCAGACCCACGCAGCCTGACTCCATAGCCTAGGCAGTTGACTATATTCTTTTTCCTTTCTTTTTTTCACCAGAGAATTTTTATTGAAAGTAATCCTTCTCTGTATCTCTTAAAAGCTCTGGAATTTCTGTTGGCTTCAGCTTTATGCTGTAGTGTTCTAATGTGATATGCTTACACAGTTGTACTGTGATGCTTCGGAAACTTAGTCTTTGGGTAAGGAATTTATAATCCATCAGGACACAGGAAGGCAGAAGTTCAGTTTTGTAGTTCTTGGGGACAAAAAGAGAGAACCTCTCAGTAGAGTGTGCAGACTCACTTTCACTCGCGTGCTTAAGACAGCCCAGCAGACCTCTCTTTTGAGAAGTAAAAACATGGTCTTAACACTGTAGTCGATCACTGTGACAGTAAAGGAACACGGATCATAATGGATTTTTCTTTTTCTGAGTTTATCCTGTGAAGAGGACAATTAGAACAAAAGACTCAGGGGGAAAAAAAAAAAAAAACCACAACCAAAAACAAAACCAAAAGCAGGGTTTCTTAAAATGTTGGGCTCTGTACAATGCAAGCATTTTAAATAAAAGAGCTGTTTCTTCTGTGTTTTTTGCAGTTAGCTTCAGGCTTTTGTTTTGTGCATTTCAGTGGTGGGTTGAAGTAGGAACCATGCGTATTTTGTTCTCTCCTCTGGTCCCAGCACGTAGCACAGTGCCTGGCAGATGCTGGGTGCCCCGTAAATATTCAGACAAGCTACATTTCCAATACTGAGATTTTAAACAAAGAGATCCATGTGTTCAAAAAATACATTTCTTTGTCATAGATAACTCCCCCAAGAAAAGAACCATTTATCTGGTAGTGAGTAGATTTTGACATCTGCTCCCTATCACAGACTTTGTCCCTTCCTCCAATGAAGTGTGCTCGCTTAGCAAGCATTTACAGAGCTGGAGGTCTGGGGAGGGGTCTGCCTGTCCTCACTGGCACAGGTGTAGCCAGCTCCTGGTGGCCTTATTTCTGGGTAGTCACTTCCCTCGGTACGCAAACCCACTGCTCACCGTGCTGCTTACTCCTCCAAAGCATTTCAAGAAAAAGACGTTGCTCTTGGAGAATGGGGGAAGCCAATTTAGGTTGCCTCATATTAATATTAAAGAGATTTATTAACTGCACTCCTCACATTTTGAAGCTAAAATGCACTGTAGCCAAGACTGGTTGTTTCCTGAAAGGGAGGCTCCCTGCCCCCACCCTCCAAACAAAACAAAACTGTGTCCAGAATTGATTATCTTTCCTCAGCTGCTTAGCTCATCTGGTCATATTAAGAAAATATAAATAAATCAAGAATCCACACTTGAATTACATCACTGAAGTAAAATTAAAAGCTACAGAAAAGCTCACAAGCTTTTGCTGTAAGGTTCAGAATCCCCTGAGGGTAGACAGGCAAGACTATTTTTGCATGGTGCAGAGGTGAAACTCTTCCTAGAGGTTGACAGTGTGGCATTTCCTTTGGCGGAACACCCTTCTTCCCCTCAGGCAGCTTGTCTGCGTTGGTAGGGCCAAAGCACACGACTTCTTATGTTTGGGTTAATGTCAATGTGGGATTGAAATCTAGACAAACCTTGGCCTCCCAGCTGCCTCTCAGAAATTGCTGAGTTTAAAAACTCGAATCCTGTCTTTGTTCCTTTCTACTAAGGCTATTCTAGAAGGTTGGGTTTACTTGTCCTCTTATTCGCAGATGCATAGATGCCTTTAGAGCTTTATCTACAGGGGCCTGTTTCCCCCTACTATTTTCCACTCCAAGTATTTTAAAGGCTGGTTCATCTTGGACCTCTTGCTCTTGGCCAAGCGTTTTGCTTTTGATATTACGCACTAGGTTGTTTAAAACCTCCTTATCTGTGATGTATTATTATTATTATTTGGTTTATTGAAAAAAAGGAGTTGGCTTTTCACTCCATACCAGTCCCTCTGGTCCTTTATTCTCTCTAACATAGATCCTGATGTTTTTTAAAAAGAAATCATTCCTAACAGTTGTCCATTATGATTGAGTTCTAAGCTTTGCAAAAACAAGTGTTTGTTTTCAGCTGCTGAGAAAGTGCTGATTCGAGGAAAAAAATACTGATATCAAGGGAAATGATGGCCATTGCTGGTTGAGTATTAAAGTCGAATTGGCTGTCAGCTTATTGCACTTCAGCAGCTTTTGCTGGTTTAAGCGAGACTGCAGTGGATCAGGAAACATTGTAGAAACGCAGGATATTGACTCGCAGAGTTTGACTCACCTAATGAACCTGCTTCCTTAGACGGTGCTTTTGGTAGTTGCTTTCTCTCCACTAAGTATAAATTTTAAACTCTATTGAAGAGAATAATTGAAGCTACGCATCTTGAATAAAAAGCACATTTGCAGGATGTTTCTTTTAACTTTTTCCTTTTCTCCATTGGTATACCTAGGCTGATGCAGATAGTTTTTATATGGCGTGCAATGGCCGCCAGTTCAACTCAATAGAAGATGATGTTTGCCAGCTGGTGTATGTGGAAAGGGCTGAAGTACTGAAATCTGAAGATGTAAGTGTACATATTTCTTGTGCTTTTTTGTGTGTATGTAGCACACACACATATGTGAATGTCATGGGTTGAATGTTAGGGTACCTGTGGAAGTGTCCAGAGTATGCCAGTCCCTAGAGATAGAAGGCAGGTGAGTGGTTGCCAGGGCCAAGGGAAGAGAGATGAGGAGTGACTGCACTGAGTATAATATCTTTTGGGGATGAGAAGGATATTCTGGGATTAGTGGTGAGGGTTGCACAACCTTGTGACTATACTAAAACCTGCTGAATCGAACACTTAAACATGGCAGATTTTATATTAAATGAATTTTATCTCAATTTTTAAAAAGTATCCCAAAATGTTAAAAAAAAATTATCTGTGTTATCAAAATTGAGTGTTCATCTATTCAGATGGTCTGGATCCTAAAAGAAGCATTTTTACTTTAACTATCAACCCTTAGTCCCTGTGCTAATTTTTAATTCTGTTTGGATAACAATCTATAATTGTTCTGGTTGGCCACCCTCTGTGGAACCTTTTCCTACAAAATGTGTTCACTTAAATCATTTTATAAAGTAAGTAGTAGATTCAGCTCTCTTATAGTTTTAAGATTTTCTTTCTTTTAAGGTAGACCTGAAAGTGTTTTTACTTTGAAATCGGCTTGTTGGAAATAAGTTTTGGTTTGATTGTTCTGTCATTAGATTAGGTAAAATAAAAATTGACAGATGATATCATCAGGCTTCCTTTGTGCCAGTTTTAGAGATTTTTTTCCCTCTAAATGAACGTGGCTTCTTGAGAGAGTTCCTGTGAAAAGCTACTCTTCAGGGACCATAGAGAAATGTGATTTTTTTCAGCATTTCCTTCTGTGCATACCTCCCCATCTTTGGTTCAGTGATTCCTGCTCGTTTTCAGGTGGCGGGCTCACGTCAGTCACTGTCTTGGGGGGGAGCAGGGCTTGCCTACAGACCATTATGTCCCCTATTTCACAGCCTGCTATAGCTTCCTAAACTTCTTTCATAGCACTTAGGACCACTGGTACTTGTAATTATAGCATTATGATTGTGACCACTGGTAATTTTAAAAATTTGACTTTTGTCTCTCTATAGCAGATTTTAAGCTCTTTGAGGACAAGACCTGACTTGGTTGGTTGGGACTGAGCGTGTCCGTTTTGCTCACCATTGTGCTACAGCTAGAACAGTGTTTGGCACACATAGTAAGGACTCAATAAGTGTGTATTAAATAAATGAATAAATCAGTGTTGTTGATACTATTATCACTTTGTAGAAAGTGTTAAGTTTTAACTTACTCTGTGGAAAAATCATTGCTTTTATTCATGTGTGTTCTGTTCTAGTTACAGAGCCTTAGAAGTAGGGCCAGGAGTCTGGTAACACTTTAGATTCTCTTTTAAGTTTTTGGTGGTAGTCTCCTCTCCAGGGTATCAGCTCCGTGAGGGCAGGGATCTTTGTTGGCTTATTGGCCACCCTGTCCCCAGTGCCTTGCACAGCGCCGGGAAGATAGGTGCTCAGTCAGTATTTGTTGTGATGAAAATCTTACCAACGTAAGTTATTTGCACAGAGCAAAAGTGTTAGCAACATCCTTCCAGGAGTCAAAAAGCAGCAGGAAAACTAGTGTTAAAAACATATATATTAGAACCACGGATGAAGAGTGAGGCTTACGTGAGGTGTTTCCCTGTAGGGTGCCAGCCTCCCCGTGATGGACCTGACCGAGCTCCCCAAGTGCACGGTATGTCTGGAGCGCATGGACGAGTCCGTGAACGGCATCCTCACCACGTTATGTAACCACAGCTTCCACAGCCAGTGCCTGCAGCGCTGGGACGACACCACGTGAGTGTAGGAGCTAGTCCCCCACCCTCTCAAAGCCCATTATTCCCCTTTCCCAGAATTAAAAATAGCCACCACCAAAAGTGAACCATTCCAAGTGCTTGACTTTATACGCGTGAGCACCACAGCAGTGAAGAGGTCACCTGGAAGGCCCTTCCATTTTTCTTCACTTGCCTCAGTTCATGTGGTAAGCAGTCAGCATTCTTACACCTCCTCCTCCTTAGTATGTTGATTCAGAATCTGTGTGGGATTTCCAAAAGCAGCATGAATTGTTTGCTTCCAAGAACCTTTGAGGCTCTTCTACCTCAATGAAGTCTAGGTCTAAAATCTCCTTTATCATCTGATGTTGACTGTTTACTTTGGTTTTCTTACCATTCGGGCTGTGGTAGTCTAGCATTTCAGATTTGTATGTTGGTGGTGGCACAGTGGCCAGTAATAGCAGTCACTAAGTCTGAAGCACCCATACGCCACCCATATGCCCTGTTTCCCACTTTAGGAGAGGCCTTATTTGTAGGGTGGCATGGCGCAGGCAAAGACCTGAGGTGTAAGCTGTACCTTGGTTTTTGTTCTTTTAAATCAAGAGTTGTTCCTTTTATAAACGGTGCTGTAGGGCTTAGCTAGAAAAGTAAATCAGCTGCTGGCCTAGGTCTCCCACTACAGAGAGGAAGACACAATCAAATAATCAAACATGTAGTCGTGGCCATAACAGGGTTTACGAAGGAACAGCGTGCAGTGTTATGACTAGAGAACTAGGGCCCTGAGATAGCCAGGGCCGCCTGAGACGTTCAGTCTCCAGGAGGCTGAAGAGGCGTTAGCCAGGGAAAGGGGGGCACCTGAGAGAAGGCAGTGTGAGGGCGCGGGTGTGCAAGGGAAGGGGAAGATCACATGTCAAGGCCCAGAAATGAGAAAGGCGAACATCCACAGGAATCTCTTTTCTACCCTGACGTGACCAAAAGAATGGCAGCTTTTGGGGCGCCTGGGTGGCTCAGTGGGTTGAGGCCTCTGCCTTCGGCTCACGTCATGATCCCAGGGTCCTGGGATCGAGCCCCGCATCGGGCTTTCTGCTCAACAGGGGGCCTGCTTCCCTTCCTCTCTGCTTGCCTCTCTGCCTGCTTGTGATCTCTGTCTGTCAAGTAAATAAATAAAATCTTAAAAAAAAAAAAAAAAAGAATGGCAGCTTTCACAGAGCAGGGACCTTGTCTGGCTTGCTCACTGCTGTGCCCTCACCCTTGGCAGGAAACCTGGCACATAGTAGGAGCTCAGAAAATACTCTTGAGCAGATAAACAAACCCAGGGTTTTCTCTAGCCTGTTAAGCTTGACATGAATCTTACCCTAATTCTAAAGCTCCCTCTGGGGTTTCTCGTGGGACCTCTTCAAAGAATTGTCCAGGTTTAAATTCGCCTTGAATAACGCCACACTAAGATGTGTGCATTCCACAAAGTGTTCATCTGTATTTTGTGTCTGTCTGCAACACCATTTAAGTTTTGGACACTTCTTTGTCCCCTGCCACTCCAGTTTTACTCTCAGTGCACGTTAACTGCCCCAGAAACATAACATTTTAAAGTTTAAAGCTTAGAAGTTTGCTCAGGAACCGTATTGTCCAGCCTCCTCTTTTTTAGAGAGGAGGTAACAGATCCAGAAATGAAAAAGCAGCATGTTGAAAGCGTTTTGCAGAGAAGACGAGACCGGGACTAGACTTCAACCCTCTGGATAGACAGACCTGGCAGCTAGCCTCAAAAATACAGAGTTCCTTCAGCAAATATGTTTTGAGCCTCAGTACATGCATTGTATACTGCTGGCCACTGACGAGAGAGAACAAACATAGATCCTCCTCGGGGAAGTTCAGTCAGCTAAGGGAGCTGACATAAGTGCATACAATTCAAGGTAGAAATCAGAGGAAAATAGAGATGGCTTTCCCACTGGGGATATTCAAGAAGGGCGACATGGAGGACGCAGCCTTGGTATGCAGTCTTGAAGAGTAGTTTTTGAACACATGGCGATGTCAGAGAAGGACATTCTGGGAAGTTTTCCCCAAATATCTCCTCAGGAAAATAAGAAGACAACTCAAAAGTTATTTTTAAGGAGAAGGAAGCATTTAGTAAACTGTTAATGACCTTTTAATCAATGAGATGGTATGTTACAGAATACTACATGTATTCAGATAAGGTGATTTTTGTAGTTTTTTCCCTTTTTTTCCCTCAGGATCATACTTATATTTTAGAAAGATCATTCTGACATAATATAGGAAATAAGATTTCAGAATTTGTGTTTTGTTTTTTATCTAACCACTACCGCAGCTGCCACACAGACCAAAGGAATGACACAGAGCTAGTCTGGACCTTTGACAAGACAGCTCGCTGCTCATTACAGCTGCCATTTCATTGTTTCTTCACATTTGTCTAACAGCTTCTCTCTTTTTGAAGTTTTTATTTAAATTCCAGTTAACATACTATGTTACCTTAGTTTCAGGTGTGCAGTATAGTGATTCAGCACTTCCATACATCACCCTGTGCTCATCACAAGCGCCCTCCTTCATCCTGTCACCTAGTCCACCCGTCTCCCCTCCCCCCTTCCCCTCTGTTACCATCAGTGTGTTGTTCTCTGTGGTTAGGAGTCTGTCTCTTGTTTGTCTCTCCCTCTCTCTTCCCTTTGCTTGTTGTTTTCTTAAATTTCACATATGAGTGAAATCATACGGTATTTGTCTTTCTCTGACTGACCAATTTTGCTTAGCATTGTACTCGCTGGCTCCATCCACATTGTTGCAAATGGCAAGAGTTCATTCTTTTTGATGACTGAGTAATATTCCATGGCATGTATATGTCCCATCTTTTTTTATCCGTTTATCTGTTAATGGACACTGCTTCCATAATTTGGCTATTGTTGATAATGCTGCTGTTAACATCACGCCTGGGTGCATATCAGGCTTCTCTTTTGATACTAAACGTAGAGACTAGATCATTTAGCATTTAGCTTTCTCTTAGGAAATACAGATCAAGCCTTTTTATATGTGATAAGAACCTCATGTTCTTCCTGCTAATTGTCTTTACTCGGTTTTGTTTACTCAGTTGGGTAACAAATGAATACTAGTTATATCTTAAGTATTCTTTCTTCTTAGCGCTAGTTCATAATTAGCTTCAATTATAACCTGCTTTCTATCATTTTTGCCCATCTGACAGAAATATTCATGACTGGTACTTAGTGTTACTTGTCTTGAGTATAATAGAATGGCATTAATGGAATTTTTTTTAAGATGTTATTTATTTTATTCGAGAGAGAGAGAGCGTGAGAGGGAAGAAGGTTAGAGGGAGAAGCAGACTCCCCAGGGAGCTGGGAGCCTGATGTGGGACTTGATCCAGGGACTCCAGGATCATTACCTGAGCCAAAGGCAGTGGCTTAACCACTGAGCCACCAGGCACCCTATTAATGGATTTTTTAATGGCCTTTTCCCCCCAGCTTTACTGAATTATAATTGATCACCAAAAAATTATATGTATTTAGGGGTGCCTGGCTGGTTTATTCTGTAGAGTGTGTGACTCTTGATCTTGGGGTCATGAGTTTGAGCCCCATGTTGGGGTTAGAGATTACTTAAAAATAAAATCTTAAAAAAACTGTATATTTAACTGGAGCACCTGAGTGGCTCACTCAGGCATCTGCCTTCGGTTCAGGTCATGATCCTGGGGTCCTGGAATCAAGCCCTGCGTCGGGCTCCCTGCTCAGCGGGAAGTCTGTTTCTCCCTCTGCCTGCTGCTCCCCCTGCTTATTCTTTCAAATAAATAAATAAAATATTTAAAAATAAATAAAATGTACAACCTGATGACTCAGTATACATATACTTTATGAAGTGTTCATAACCAAGCTAATAAACATATCTTACCTCACACCTTTACCATTTTCCTGTTTTTCGTGTGTATGTGTGTGTGTGGTAAGAATACCCAAAGTCTATCTTCTTAGCAAATTTCAAAAACAATATAATATTGTCAGCTGTAGTCACACTGAGGAACAATAGTTCTCCAGAATTGATTCAGTCTTGCATAATTGAAACCTTATAACCTTTGACCAACATCTCCCAATTGCCGCCTCCCCCCAGACCCTGGTATCCGTCTTCCTTTCTGCTCTCTGTTTCTGTGAGTTTGCCTTCAGTGCTATTTTAATTGACTTCTTGTAAATTGAAACTTGAGCACTTGGCGCTGCTGTCCTCTTCCACATATTTATCGTATGCTAACATGCCATGTGTGTTCCGTATTCACTTACTTTTTCAGTGAAATTTATTACAGATTTTAGTTTTAACTCTTGGGAGCAACCTAGAGAAGACAGAGTACCTTTTGAGTGATTTAGATCTTTGGGAAATAAGGTAGATTGTTTGAAATAAAAATACCTTACAGATACCCGGACATAAAATTAACGTATCTAAAGTCCCTAATTCTAACCTGTATACATTTAGTTCTTTGATTAAGCTTTAGACAGAAAAATGGAAGAAGGCATGAAGCAGATCAAGACTCCTTCCTTTCATTCTTCCTTTCTCAAGATTTTGTATTCTTTTTTCATTTCTTTGGAGAATAACTTGCAAGCGTTTTTCGAGTGATACCATTAGTTATGATAAACATGTAGTATGTAAGAGACCGAAGATTTAAAATGCAGTTTTTGACTTTTGATTCTGTAACAGCCGTCTCTTGTATTCCGTCTGTACCATTCTCGTTTGGTGTCCTGGCTAGGTGTCCTGTGTGCCGGTATTGCCAAACACCAGAGCCAGTGGAAGAGAATAAGTGTTTCGAGTGTGGTGTGCAGGAAGTAAGTACTGGCCGACTGCTGGGAAAGAACAGTGAGCATGGCTTTCATGGTCTGGGGTTTGCTTCAATTCTTTTCAATTCTTTTTCAGACTGAATCTTTTTTTTTTTTTTTTTTTTTTCTTTTTGTCCAGGGTCAGGCAAGATGTATAAATAAATTATTTTATATTCCTAAGCAAAATAATCTCTGCTTTTTATTCTTTGTTTTTTGAAGAGGACTAGACTTTTGCTGATAAAATGTGAATATTTGTCTTGCTGTTTACTTAGAGTTCCTTAAAACCCAGAAGGAGAAAATGATTGGCCTGTAAAAGCATCCTTGCTTTTTGGGTTTTAAACATAGATTTAGGGGCGCCTGGGAGGTTCAGTCGTTAGGTGTCTGGCTTCCGCTCAGGTCATGATCCCATGATCCCATGATCCCATGGGTCCGGGATCGAGCCCCACATCAGGCTGCCCACTCTGCGAGAGTCCTGCTTCTCTCTTTCCCACTCCCCCTGCTTGTGTTGCCTCTCTCCTTGTCTCTCTCTGTGTCAAGTAAATAAAAATCTTTAAAATAAACAAATAAAAATGTTTATTCAAAACTCCTGTAGAAACAACTCCGCTTCATTCTGTCAGGCCCCTTCCCACTCAGAGTGAGCCAAGTCATGTGTTTTTTTATAACTAATGAAGGTCTTACCTTCTCTGACAGAACCTGTGGATTTGTTTAATATGTGGCCACATAGGATGTGGACGGTATGTGAGTCGACATGCTTATAAGCACTTTGAGGAAACGCAGCACACATATGCCATGCAGCTCACCAACCATCGAGTCTGGGACTATGCCGGAGGTGAACACTGTCTCATTTCCTAATTCAGAATCGTTCTGCATGAACATCTCTCCCTCAGAACCTCTCCGCTTTCTCTTCTAGCTTGAAATCTTCCTGACAGCTGTGGCAAACTCAAATTCTCATGGTGCCCCATAGGGCACTATTTCCTGAGAATGGCCTAAATTGCACATTATAAAGGGAGTTAACTAACGCTGCCATACTTGCTCTCTCACTCCTGCTTAAATTCAGATGATCTAGCCCACTTGTACAGAAGCATCGCAAGGCATTTAATTTAGAACACATAAAACCAAAAATTTGTCCAAGTTCAGAGCGTATGCAGACTCTTTTCATTGTGAAGAAAGAAGCCAAACCAGCCTTGATTGATGCGTTCATTCTTTTCTTTAGATAACTATGTCCATCGACTGGTTGCAAGTAAAACAGATGGAAAAATCGTACAGTATGAATGTGAGGGTGATACTTGCCAGGAAGAGAAAATAGATGCCTTACAGTTAGAGGTAAGATACTTTATTAGTAATTACTAAGTACCTTTTTTTACTTCTTTTTACTGTCCTAACTTAAAAAGTGACTTGGGCTTTCAATTTTGGCATTTCCTCTGTATGTCAACTTTTTTAAAAGTCACATCATTGCTCAGAAGGATTATTAAAATATTTTTATTCTGTCTGATTATCTTCTTTGAAAGTCTAAGTCTCACCACGCCTTATTATTTTGAATGTGATTTTCCTCACTGTCTCCAGCTCAATATTAAGGTAGTCCTCTAGCTGCAGTAAACTGGAAGTTGAGAATCTGCCCGATGGCATCCCAGTAGCAGTTGGAAACTGAGCAGTTCAGAATGAGGAAACCCCAGTAGCATCCTTCCATACCCAGGAAGCTTTTGTGTATATCTTAGACATTGTATGGATTAGACACATATATACTCAAAGTACATATTTTATGGATTTGATGCTTACATAAAGCCATTTGGGGGTATGCATATAGTCAAACAACAAAAGTAGCACAGTCTGAGTTTTCACTGAAGCAATAAATCCCATCTACTATAAAATTATACTGTAAAGTTTACATTAATGAAAGAGCGGTTTAACAGGAGTCTTGTTTTTGTTTTAAGATTTTTAAAAACTTATTTGACAGAGAGAGCATGCGAGCATAAGCAGGGGGAACGGCGGAGAGGGAGAAGCAGGCGCCCCACTGAGCAGGGAGCCCAATGCAGGGCTCCATCTCAGGACCCCAGGTTCATGACCTGAGCCGAAGGCAGTCTGGTTGAGTGAGACTGAGCCCCAGGTCAGGCTCTGCGCTCAGCATGGAGTCTGCTTGCCCCCTTCCCCTTCACTCCTCCCCGTTTATGCGTGTGTGTACGCACATGCTCTCCCGCACTCGCTCGCTCTCAAATAAATAAAATCTTAAAAAAAAATAACTTTGGGAGGAAATGGATATTCCAAAACTTGCTCATTTCCAGATTTCTGTGGTCTAATAGATTCAGTAGAATGACCTAAATGATGTTTTACTATTAATTGTACTGATAAGAAAAAAATTTAAACCTTTTACATTAAGTTTTTAGAATAGCAACCCTTCCACATTAACACTTAAGTATAATCATTCAGCAAATGTTTATCAAGGGCTGCTCTCTGTCAGCCGCTCTTCTTGGTACTGGGAGTGCAGCATTGATCAGCCCCCACTGCCCACTCCAGGGACACACACACGTTGCCCCATCTGGCCTTTCTCTTACATCTTCATTCCCTTCTCTAGCTCACAAACACATTCAGATCTCTTTTAGTCTTTTAGAGTGGTCTTTCTGAAATGCAGATGTGATGTTGCCACTCCCTGGCCCACATTTCTCCATGTAATACCCCAGAGCCTTCCATAAGGCTCCATCTGCTCCATCTGTCCATACCTTGCACCCTTGCCTCATTGATGTGACTGCTTCATCTTGGAAGAGTTCCTGAATGTCTACAGCTCACACATGGGGCCAGTAGTTCTCTGGAATCAGATCTCTGTCTTTACCTCGTCCTGTCTGTCGAAAGCCCTCCCAAATCTCCCCTTTTCTCAGAAGCCCTGCCAGACCCTACTGTCAAGCCATCTATCCTTTCTCTGTTTACACTGCACTGTTCATCCATTCATGCAGTCAGATAGCAAACGTTTCTTGACGTCCAGCATGTGCCAGGCACTGGGATTACAGAAATAAGGGTAGAACCCTCACTTTGAACAAGTTGATAGTCTTGTCAGGGAGACCTGGTGGTTAAGTGCTGTTAATGATAGGCACCATACTAAGGGAACTGAGAGGACTGCTTAACCCAAGGCTGGGTGGGACAGGGACAGCTTCCTAGAGCGGGGTGAGCAGATTTCACTTATACTTTGATTTAAAAACCTGTGGTTCTTTAAGTTAGCCTGAATAGAAACGTATTTGTTAACATACATTTCTCTGCTTACTTGTCCAGACTAGATGGTAAGCCCCAGGACAGGAGTGTAATTGACATCTCTGTATTCCCTGGTTTGTTGAGTAGAGTGTAACCAAGATGTAATACACATTGTCATGGTTACACCTACTCTTCCTTAGGTGATTAAATGTTGAGTTTTAACTGAATTGAAGAAACTTAGTGATTTATGTTTTGGTGTCTATTCTCTATGTTTCTAGTATTCGTATTTACTAACAAGCCAGCTGGAATCTCAGCGAATCTACTGGGAAAACAAGATAGTTCGGATAGAGAAGGACACAGCCGAGGAAGTAAGTTTCTGCTTTGGTGCTGCTGACGTGCCACATGGCAGGGCTATCTGATGTTGGGGTGGGAGAAGGCAGGGTAAAAGAAAAGAGGAATGCTGGAATCTTCCTTACTCTGATACAGAGATAGAGAATTGTTTGGCTTCTGAAAAGAAACCTTTGTTATACGTTAGTTATATCTCAGTAAAGCTGGGGCGCAGGGGAGGGGAGGATGTAGTGCACAGAGAGAAGAAAGAAAGGAAGAATTTGGAATCAGTTATCTCACCCCAGTAATCTAACTTTAGATCAGAATTCCGAGAGAAGTGGTTGAAAACATGAATCATCATTATATTACAGACTTAGCCCCTAAAGGCAGTTTTAGGCAACAAGAAATTCTAGACCACAATAAGAAAGAAATTAGTCAAAAAGAGGAAAAGGAAGAGACGAAAATATGCTGTTGCAAATGCAGCCAGCTGAACATTATTTAAGAAGGGGAGGGAGGGACGCCTGGGTGGCTCAGTGGGTTAAGCCTCTGCCTTCGGCTCAGGTCATGATCTCGGGGTCCTGGGATCGAGTCCCGCATCGGGCTCTCTGCTCAGCAGGGAGCCTGCTTCCCCTTCTCTCTCTGCCTGCCTCTCTGCCTACTTGTGATTTCTGTCTGTCAAATAAATAAATAAAATCTTTAAAAAAAAAAAAAAAAAGAAGGGGAGGGAAGCCAACATGTATTCTTACCTAGGATCAGTAAATCAAGACGAATGGATCAGAATTGTACGCTGAGCTCGATATTACATTAAATATGAGGTGAGGAAGAAACGAAATACCTGTTATATATCCTAAAAAAGGAAAATTTGGGCTTAAAAACCTGAGTATTTTGGTATTTTTGAGTGGGGAAAGATTTAACTTCTGTCAGGTTTTCTAGTGCCTTGTGCAATTCCATTAAAAAAAAAGGCAGAAGTATGTACACGAGGGCTTGTAATTTGAGTCTGCCAGTTGGTTTGTCAGCTCGGGAACAGCTGCTTTGAGGAGCTGCATGTGGGCTTCTGTGGCAGTACGATGGTGCCGAGCTCTTCGAAATCGCAGAGAAGAAAGGAAGACAGAGGTGCTAGAGCTTCTGTGGTTCCCATGGTTCCTTGTTTATCTAGGGCAGAGGTTTTTAGATGTTAACAAAATCCTTTAAAGAAATTGCCAGTTCACTGCTCCAACAGGTGAAAGAGAAAAGTGGTATGATTTTGGTGGAAACCCAGGCGGAGGGCACAGAACTCCACTTGCTTTTTTCCCGTTGCCTCCAGCACGTACAAGGAACCCTGCCAGTTCCAAAGAAGGGAGTTTGAAAACTAGTGAGCTCCTCAGGGGACTCCAAGAACCTTCCTCAGGTTCTAAGAACAGTGTCCATACAGGCTTTTAAATTTTTTTAATGATGATTTCTGTCATTTTGTGCGTCCTTAGCACTAACTAGACCTTCAGATAGGGGCTGCAGAGCCAGGCTTGGGTCTCACCTGTGTGGTGGCTAGGATTACCCTGGAATTAGGCAGGCAGGGCCAGGCTTACACATAGGCCAGGTCCTTTGGCCCCAGTTTCTGGATATGCCTACAAATGAGGAGAAATCAGCCTTCTAAAATTAAGGCTTAACACCAGCTTTGACATGATCTTTAGTTATAAGTTCTTGATAGAGTTCCTACAAGAACCTTCCAAGTGACGAAAGTGCCTTTCCAGAGGCATTCAGGGTCACTTGATGGACTAGTTCTGAATAGGCCTTGATTGGAGCACATATGGGAGAGACATGCCTCCAACAGTGCTCAGGAAGCAGAGCATGGTCACTGCCACTTGGTGTCGAGTTATGAAGTCCCAGGGACTAACATTGGCCAACTCTGCACGCCTGAGTAATGGGTTTGTGCACAGGGGATACACCTGAAGTGCTTCACGCAGACCCTTGAGAGCTAAGCTTAGGGTCCTCTCCACCTTTTCAGATTCCTTAGGATTAACTGCATTCCCTAATAAATGCCCATGAAAAGCAAGTCAAAGGGCAGGAAAGCTAAACGCTGAAACTTGTGGGGTTTTTTTTAATGTGGGGGTAAGATGGAGGCAAGGGCAGCCCTTCATAAAAGCTGGAAGGGCTTGAAAAGGATGTTTTGTTTTCTAGTAACAAATGTCGCTTATCCATAAGTTAATGGATGATGCAGGTTTTTTGTTCTGCCACTGTCCTCCTTTTGACCAGTCCTCTGTCCACTGGCACCTCCAGCAGGAGAGCGTGTGCAGAGAGATACAGTAGCAGACAGCGGGTTTCACTGGTGGAGATTCTCGTTCATGGGCCTCATTGTGGGCTTGTTACAGTGCTGTTCTGCTCCTACAGGGAGTACGATTACTGTAGCGTGTGAAAGTCTGTTCTAGAAGCTCATGTCCACTCGAAGGTTCTTGTTTTAGTGGGGCCATGTAGGAAGAACGCAGAGCAGGCAGACAGGACAGTGAATTCCCTAAAGATCTGTCTTTTCTCATTGGACCTGGAGCTCCATGTAAATCAGTACTTTTCCAGCTGCGGATTGTGAAATGAGTTTGATAGCTGGCATTTTTATTAAAACAGGTAAGGTGGATATAAAATATTAGAGCACATTATCATATTCAATACTGTTTTGTGAAGCTCTTGGCGTCGGTTGTGTATATACTGAGTATGTCTTACTGCGGGCTCATGGTCAGAAGGGTTTTAAAAAGCACTGACTTAAACCATTGTAACTTTTGTCTATAGCAATTTTAGAGAGCTTTTTGGGGTTACTTGGTTTTCATCTCGATTCAAGTGCATTTGGCCTAAGTATCTCCAGTTAGCAAAACACAGTTTGGTTCCTTTTGATAGTCATTTTTGTCCTCTTCGTTTTCCCTAACAGGAGTCAGTTTAGGAGAAGATGTACAAAGGATCTAATGGTCTTTTATTTTAAAACAATATTGGGGAGGAAATTAATACCAAATTAGAATTAGAGCAATTTAAAAAAAAAATTTAAGATTTTACTTATTTATTTGACAGTGAGAGAGAGAGAGAGTGAGCAAGCACAAGTGGGGACGGGCAGAGGGAGAGGGAGAGGCGTGCTCCCCGCTGAGCAGGGAGCCCAGCATGGGGCTTGATCCCAGGAGTGCGGTATTATGACCTGAGCTCAAGGCAGATGCCCAACTGACTGAGCCACCCAGGCACCCCAAATTTTTGTTTTCATGACATAGAGGAATCTTGCTTTGTTCTTCCAACTTAACAGAAGTTGGCTATAAAGTTAATTTCTACAGTTATTTTCTTATTTAAAAAAAAAAAACAGTGCTGTTAGAAATCTGTTAGTCAGACCATGTGGCAAGTTTTTAAAAGTAAGTATTAAAAGCAGTGGCCCTTTTTCTAACCTGATGGACAATTGCTGAGAGTTTGCCTCTGCCCAAGGGTCGTTTTTCCTTTGCTGTACAGCTGTGGCCTCCAGTGTAGTACAGGGAGGTCTAGAGCTTGGCTCTAGATTCAGACTTGGTGTCCCAGTCCTGGACCCACCATGCTCTGGTTGGGTGACCTTGGGCAGATTGCCTCACCGTTCTATAAGCCTGTTTCTGTAAAAGGCTGCCGCATCGAAGTCTCTAGCTTCTTGAAAGATATAAAGGGATACTGCTTACAAAACACCTGGCTGGTATGTGGGCCATAGGATTTAAATTCTCAGACCCTTTCAGTTCCTGTTATTACTGCCTCATGATCCACGCAGCCTTGCTACTTCTCCTTCCCATCTAATCTTCGCCCTGTGTCCGTCCGTACATCAGTAGAGCTGAGGCATTTCTCAGTTGTGTAGATCGTCACACCCAAGTGAATCCAGAGTCTGCTTAGCTAGTACTTCAAAAGTCTCATGATTTCCAACACAGAATACACCAGAATTTTTAAATTCTCTTCAGTTTCTTTCTTTTTTTTTTTTCTTTTTAAGATTTTATTTATTTAGTTGACAGGGAGAGAGATCACAAGTAGGCAGAGAGGCAGGCGGTTGTGGGGGGAAGAAGGCTCACTGCTGAGAAGAGAGCCCAATGCGGGCCCCGATCCCAGGACCCCAAGATCGTGACCTGAGCCAAACGTAGAGGCTTAACCCACTGAGCCACCCAGGCGCCCTCTCCAGTTTCTAAGACAATGTAGCATGAATTCGTTCTCTCTATATTGCACTTGCAAATTAACTCAAAATAAGAACCACTTATGTTCCATGTCACTTTGTGTACCTGAGAAAATTAGTAAGGAGTTTGGGAAGGGGGGAGCCTGAACAGTTAAAATCAGTTATCACCATTTTCTTGGATTAGATTAGTTTGTTAGATTATTTGAATAGTAATTTTTGGAATGTGATCTCAGGAGGAAAAAAAAATGATGAGTTAAGAGGAGGATGCTCTGTTTGGTGCCAGGGTGGCTCAGTTGGTTAAGCAACTGCCTTCAGCTCAGGTCATGATCCCGGAGTCCTGGGATCGAGTCCCACATCAGGCTCCCAGCTCCATGGGGAGTCTCCTTCTCCCTCTGACCTCCCCTCTCATGCTCTCTCACTGTGTCTCTCTCTCAAATAAATAAATAAAATTAAAAAAAAAAAAAAGAAGAAGAGGATGCTGTGGTCTGGCCTCCGACAGACCATCTCCTGCTTGACTGCCCAAGTCTACTTTTGAGTCTTTCGCTTGACATTCAGCTGCTCCTGATCATCCTGGTATAGATAAACAGTAAGGGGGAAAAAGGATTTCTCAAAATGGTTATTCCATTACAGGAGTTCTTTCAAATGATTGTCTCACCTTTTCTTAGTTCGGTTTGTCAAAGTTATAGACAGGTAATTAAAGAAACAGTGGTGAAGTTAGCCCCAGAGACCAGCCGCTATGCCTCTGTGAAGTGAAACTGACCTCTGTTTGCTCTTCCAGATTAACAACATGAAGACCAAATTTAAAGAAACAATTGAGAAATGTGATAATCTGGAGCATAGACTAAATGATCTCCTAAAAGAAAAGCAGTCTGTGGAAAGAAAGTAGGTGTAATTGGCCTCTTTTAATTAGCTTTTTCATTCTAACAGGCTCATAAACAGGTAATCTCCTTCATTAACACTTTCCAAGTGTGTCTGTCAACGAGGTTTTCAGGGGTCTCCCTATATATGAAGCAAACTTACTGTGACTTTGCGTTTATTAAAAACGACAGTGTTTCACGCCAGGTGGATGCCGTGTGGAATGCAGTGCTCTCGGCTGATGTCTGTGCTTCTTGTATGTGCAGATATCTTTCATTTTTGCCACTAGAAAGCAACAGCCTTGTGCTCAGAGCTGCAGCTTCTCTGAGCCATGTGGCTGAGAACTGGCACTTAAGAGAGCGACTGTCTAAGCCGGAGGTAGTGTGTACTCTGGGATTAGACAGGAATTAAAAGCCAAATTTGTTGACTATGGTGTGAAAAGCTCAAGAACAGTGTGGCGAGAACATACTCTACTATTATTGTATGGGAAGATAGTTGCTGCTGATTGAAATTATCTTTCTAGCTTAAGTATACTCACAAATACGGGTTTTTTTTACCTCCAGACAAATGGATAAAAAGTCAATTTAAGGGAGGATATAGCTTTAAAAGTTGTTTTTTATTTTGTTTTTGTTTTAAATAAACCTTTATTCTGGAAGAAATTCAGCTTTACGGAGGCTACCAAGATTGTGCACACAGTTCCCATTTCCCCTTTACCTGTTTTCCCCCTATTCAGAAGTAAGGATTATTGTAATAGGGGTTTTTTTTGGTTTTTTGTTTTTGGTTTTTTTTTTTGTATTGTGGCAAAATCTATATAACACGAAATTTGTCAGTGACACTGAATGGCATTCACGACATCCTGCTCCTATTGACATTATCTGTTTCAAAATTTTTTCATCAGCCACAATATTCTTCACCAAAGTTGTTTTGTTTTGTTTTGCTTCTTTTAAACATTTTCTTTGTAAGCAGTCTCTGCACCCAACATGGGGGCTCAAACTTAACAACCCTGAGATCAAGAGTTATGTGCTCTTGAGCCAGCAGGCGCTCAAAGGCTTTTTGTGTGTGGGTTTTTTTTTTAAACTTCTGTAAAAACAACACTATGGCATTAAGAGAAATTAAAATATTGTCCTATACTTTCAGCTCCCTAACAAACTATATGCAAGAATTAAAACTGGAAGGTTTTTTCCACCCTGTAGATCATGCTGTCTATCTAAAGGTTACCATTATTAATTAGTGGTACCGGTGACTATTGCCTCTTCCAAATCTTTCTCTGTACCTGTATAAACATCTCATATATACAATCTTTTCTCTTAAAAAAATAATATTAAGTATTCTGTTTGGTAAAATACTCCATTTTAGAGATTTTTTTTTTTCATATTGGTACATCTAGAGCTATCTTGATCTTCATAAAGGCGGCACAGTATTCCATTGTCTGGAGGTCCCATAATAATTTTAACCCGTTCCCTATTTATGGATGTTTAAGTTGTCTCAAGTCATAAACTACTGTAAACTCTGTTGCAGTGAGCATTTTTCTCCATGTTTCTTTCAGTGTGGTCTGAAATATGTGCTGTGGGATATGTTCTGTAGGATAAATTCCTGGAATAGGTGTGGCAGAGGGCACGGTGAAATTTTTATTTTTATGGGTATTGCCAAGGTGACTTCCAAAGAGTTTGTAGCAGTTCATGCTCCAGTGCCAATGTGTGCAAGTCCCTCTTTCCCCACATCTGAGCTCTCTGGTATTCTGATACATAAAAATGGTATCCCAGGTGGTATTTTAATTTGTAATTTTTTACTTATGAGTAAGATTGAGCATCCAGAATAGGGCGCTCCTATCCTTGAAAACTCTCCTTCAGCAAGTGCAGTGAGGTCAGAGCACTTGACTCTTGGAGAATGTCACTTTTCCTCATAACTTCTTTATCGTAGCTGTTATCTCTAAGACACCTATTTAACCACAGACTGCAAAACAGAGAAGCGGTAGGAGTTTTATCATGAATCACAGAATCGTTTCTGCAATTGAAAAATATCCGATGCTTAGAAAAATTGTCCCGAAGCCACGCTGTTAACTCGAGCAAAATCCTTGCTTTGTAAAGCTGTTGCAGTGGCAGCAGACCAATCCCCTTCCACCGCAGGAGGGAGGAGTGCAGTCCCTCAATGGATTCTGAGATCACAGCGCCTCTGTTCAATCCCAGAGCAGAAAGGGGACAGTGTCAGCAAATGAAAACCATGCTTTTGTCTTCCTTTGTCTTGCAAAAGGTGCACCCAACTAAACACGAAAGTGGCCAAACTTACCACAGAGCTCAAAGAGGAGCAGGAAATGAACAAGTGTTTGCGAGCCAACCAGGTCCTCCTGCAGAACAAACTGAAGGAGGAGGAGAGGGTGTTGAAGGAGACCTGCGACCAGAAGGATCTGCAGATCACGGAGATCCAGGAGCAGCTGCGGGACGTCATGTTCTACCTGGAGGCACAGCAGAAGATCAACCACCTCCCTGCCGAGACCCGGCAGGAAATCCAGGAGGGACAGATCAACATCGCCATGGCCTCAGCCTCCAGCCCCCCGTCTTCGGGGGGCAGTGGGAAGCTGCCCTCCAGGAAAGGCCGCAGCAAGAGGGGCAAGTGACCTCTGGGAAACAGATGTCCCTGAGACTGTTTTCCCTGGCACGGCGGGGGTGCGCTGGGGCTCCAGTGTGAGGGTAGACCTTGAGCAAGTACAAGTGAGGACGGAGCCGCCGTTGTTTGGGTCTTTTCTTTGCGGGCGTGCGCTGCAGGGACTGCAGCCCGGCGGCCAGCGGAGCTAGCGAGATGGCCCGGGGCTTCAGAGCTGGCTGCCGTTGCCCACCATGATAGTTCACTAGCCTCAGGCGCTCTCATGGCCATTTTGCCTTCCTACCTGATAGAAGCCCCAGCTCTGCTGCGCATTTTTCCGTTGTATTTATTGAGTTGGTGTATTTGACATTCACTTCTGGGGTCTGGTTCAAGATGACGATTTTTTTTTTTCCCGGGAACCCAAAGGTCACGTTACCTGAGGTCATTAGCAGCTGCTTTAAAGAGAGGTTTGCACTGGCCACTGAGGATTTACGCAAATTCCCTAACATTAGTCGCCTGTCATTGTCATCCCTCCCTACATCTGGGAATTGAAGAATTGGTTGAAGGTCCCATGAGAAGAGGCCGGGCCTGTAAACCGTTAGTCACTAGCCTGTCACCAGCGGCCACCTCTTGCTCCAGGGCTAGCCAGGAAAAACAAACATCCCACGCAGGCCGAGCAGACCCAGGGTAGGAAAAATGGTGGCGCTTCTAGGTTTTGTTTTTGATGACTCCACACCACATTGTGAACCTCACATAAGGAGGAGGCTGAAGGGTTGCTCTAAGACCCAACTCTGAGAGTAGATTTCCTAGCATCCAGCAAGAATCAGCAAGCAGATTTATCATCCGTGTGAAAATGCGGAGTGAGGCCTCTGACTAGCTGATTGTGTATTTTGCTGGGATCAGTGTTTTCTGAATGTTTACAAAAGATCAGGCTGCATGTTCAGATTGCGGCTGGAGGGACCTTGGGCAGATTTTCAGTGATGCTTTCAAGATACAACCAAAGGCTGTTTCTAAATCCGAAGATTGGCATTTTAACAGAGCCCCTTTAAAGCAGTCATGCAGTGCTTGTTGTGAGCCAACAGAGGGGCTGTGTACTTTCTCTAGAAACCTCAACGTCAAGTAATTCATAATACACAGCGATTGAGCGAACTTAAAGTAAGACCCGTGTTGGAATTGAAGCTTCCAAAAGAGGTAGCTAGATAGGTTAACAAGACATACTGTTAAATGATGGGGTTTGTTTTCTGCTTCAGAATTAGCCAGAGTTTTCAGATGGTCACATTTTCATTGTTTTTTAGCCTATGGTTAGGCCTCATCCCCTTTGGCCTAAATGTCTTACATGTTACTTGTTAGCACACAAACTATATTGTTAATCACCATCCATTTTTGTGGGATGTGCTATAGCATTTCCCAAAAAACCTCACCTGTAACTTTGCAAAATGAATGTACCTCAGACATTCTCAATTTTTACTTAGGGTAGACCCACTCTACAAGTCCCCCTTGGACTTACATATACAGAGATCTTAAAGCAAGAGCGGGAATGTAAAGCATAACCTAATTCTCTTTCCTATAGAGATTCTATTTTATTTAAAATCTATTTTTACACTAGTTAGAATCCTGCTTTTTTGGCCAGGTACTTGTCTTGCATGTCTGACCTTGCAGAAGCTGGGGTGGATTGTAGCATACTAATTAAGAGAATTAGTAGTAGTTGACAAAGCTTGCTCGCTCCTCATTTTCCCATGATTACCTCTGTCACACAGCCCTACCACCAGCTAGAAAAACAGAGATCTTCGGTACAGGTGAGCTAAGTGGTCTGAAAGGCTATGCCCAGAGGAATGAGCAAATAGGCAAATGTTTCCAAACTACTTGAACGTTTAAAAATATTTTTTCCAGAATAAAGAATCTTCTCAAGATACATTAAGAAAATGTCTTTGAAAAAAAACAAAAAAGAAAATGTCTTTGATAAAGGTCAAATAGTCCTGTTTGAATTTGACAAAATTACAATAAGAAACTGTTCGTGTTTTCTTCAGGATGGAAATGAACCACTTAATATATCCATTCTACTTTGAACAATGAAATTCCATTAAAATAACCAAACTTTGAAATGATTCTGCCCTGTGTGAAATTTGTGTCTCTCTGATTGACATTTTCTTGGGAGCTTCTAGCTACATAACCTAAGAAGGTATCAGTGACCCGGATTTAAAAGAAGCATTAAAAATCATGGCCTCAGCACTAGAGTGAGCAGCTAGATCATTCATCTCTCCACCCCTTTGCTCCAACTTCCCAAACTCATAAAAAGTAGAATAAGGAGAATTATCTGAATTTGGAGGCTCGGCATAGGCTGAGACCCAGCACCCAACTCTTTGGCAAACGGGAAAGCAATCAATATACACACTGGAGACTTTTTCCCAGGCCCTACTGCAAACTGAGACCGCTCTGTTTTTTGAAACTGCCCCAGGAGTGTCTGGTTAGGATACACGGGGTAAGGCAAAGCCCCAGAGCAACTCCCAGCTCCGTGCTTGCCCAGGGGGCTTGTCCTCAGCAAGAGGGCTAGGAAACGAACCAGCCCCCCAGTCGTGTGGAGCCCTTGGCAAATCACAAATGAACAACCTTCTGTCATCCCTTGGAAACCCCTCTCCTGGTACAGTCGGGATACACAAGTTACAAATACTACCCTTGAGATTTTGGCTGCTGTGCGCTCTGCCACGTTGCTTGGGCTGGTGGCAGACGGGCTCACGTGATGAAGTCAATGCGCTTATCTAAAAAAGGAAAGTCGCTCTCACATTTGAGGAAAGTGATTTCTTCTTCTCCAGGATAAAGCTGAATTAACTGCCTCAGTGAATTCTGCTGCGTTAATTTGCAGAAGAGATTTTTCAGGAGTCTCTCACGACCCAGCTCCTGCTCCTTCATGGTACTGGGCCTTGTCTACACTGCTCAAAGACCTGGCTGTCACCTTAAGCGAGTTTAGGAAGACACCAAGTGTTCTCTGGCAGGCTTCTGCCTTTGGCCAGCCCTTTTCATTCTTGCCTGTGAAGGTTCTTGAAGTCGGAGTCCGAGAATATCTGCATAGTGTCTACACCAACAGATGTAGCTTTTTTTCTCTTTTTTTAAAGATTTATTTCAGAGAGAACATGCGTGTGGGGGTGGGTGGGGACGGTGGGGGAGGGGGAGTGGGGCAAGGAGAGAATCCTCAAGCAGACTCCGCACTGAGCGCAGAGCCTGACTGGGGCTGGATCCAAGGACCCTGAGATCATGACCTGAGCCAAAACCAGGAGCCAGACACTCCACCTACTGAGCCACCCAGGCGCCCCCAGATGTAACTTTTAAAAGTTAAAAAATTTTTAGGGGCACCTGGGTAGGTCAGTCATTAAGCGTCTGCCTTCAAGAGCTCAGGTCGTGATCCCCGGGTCCTGGGATCTAGCCCTATGTCGGGCTCACTGCTCAGCAGGAAGCCAGCTTCTCGCTCTCTCACTCCCCCTGCTCCCGTTCCCTCTCTCACTGTGTGTCTCTCTCTGTCAAATAAATAAATGGAATCTTTAAAAAAAAAAAAAAAGTTAAAAAATTTTAAATGGCAGGCAAGAGTAGAGCAGTACTAGGGAGAAAAGCCTTTCCCTTCAGGAACCTCCCCACCCTGTTTTGCCCCAAAGCCAAAGCCAAGTGTCTCATCCTGTGCAGCATGAAGTTCATTTCCACCCTGCACTGCCCTCAGCCTGGAGCAAACAAACATTTGGCATTGGTGCATTAGGAGACCTCAGGGAAGTTATATAAAACTTCTTTTATTTTTTACCCTCTTTTGAAGAGGGGTATGGGGAGGGCTTGTGGCCTCTTTATCCTGATTAATGTAGTAATTGACTCCTTTATGCTTTCTTTTCATCTTTTAAAGGTAATGGTAACCATTTACCACTTACTGGTAACCCTTTTTTCCCTGTCTCCATGGGATTTCTGCCCTCCCCAGAATGCTCAGACACTTAACAATATTAGATTCTGTTAGACATTCATTTTGAAAGCTGCAGTCCCAGAAGCCAAAACTATCTTAGCAACATTTTAGCTAGTATACTTTTCATGCACATGGAACAGTCTCTTACTGTCATTCTGAAAGCTTAGGCGAGTGTGAAGGGGGCTCTGCATTTGGTTCTTAATCTGGATTTTGCATTCTTGATGTACTAAAGAAGGCCAGGGAGAGATGAACAATCTGTTGTTTTATACAAGATGATTGTGGTCTTTGGGGCCCAATGTTGAATTGCTTCGGGTCAGAAACTTCTCACTGGAATCATCTGGAAAATGTGGTTTTGGTACTTGGCATGGGGCTGTGCTGGTGCAGATAACGTTTGTTACTCTGAGGCTAATTACCAAGTGCACTAAATGAACTAAAGCAGCTTTGCTTTTTTTTCAGGCTGGGTTCTAAATCCCCTGACCCAAAACTCCTTTTAAACCCAGCCTCGTAATAAATGCAGAGAGGCTAGTATCCTCGTATAATATGGCTGATGGCGAAATTCTTCTCGAAAGATTAAAGCAGAGCTCTAGCACTGAGCATAAATGCTGAATGCGAGAAACACTACTGGCCTGGCCTCTGTGGAGAGGTCTTTCGCCATCTTTCGTCTGGAAGGAGCAGAAGGTCCCAGATAAAATCTGCCCTTATGCCCATTTCCTTACTGAGACCCCTCCAGTCTAATCGATTAGTGATTGCAGATTCTCAGTCCCTTGGGTATGGCCCAATGGGCCAAGAGTCCAGACTTTTCCCTAGAGGGCTGGGCACAGTTGAGTGCCATTAAAAGAATGATGAGTCTCCACCACTTGGAAAACCAGACGGTGTCACGTTATATCACTAACCTAACGGTTAGGCTCCAAAAGACCTCAGTGGAACTGAAAGAAGGAACACAAACTAATTTCGGGGGCAGAAGAACAAGATCACAGAGAAAGACCGAGAAGTGAAGGAGAGTCCATGGAAAATTTTAGGAGGAGCAAGAGAGCCGCTCTCCTGGAAACCCTCCAGCGGAGAGCAAACAAATTGTGACTTATCACACACAGCCAGAGGGTCCTCCAGCAGCATTTTCCAGGAATTATCTTTTGTGAAAGACTTAGCCTTAAGTTGTGGCCATGCCCCCTCACACATTCTAACTGATATATTTGTGCTCACACGGAAACTATGAGTGCAAAAGCG